TGTCAGACTCCATGGAACACTAGCTGTCGCCATTGGCATCGGCTAATAAGGGATCTAATAAAATCCTAGAAAAAAGGTTTCACTCTGTGAAGGCAGTCATTGTCAAACATGACCAGTCTATTAGGTGCACAAAGGGAGTCCCAATTCAAACAGCCTACAAGACCCTTGCTCTCTTTACCCTCTACATTAGGAAAACATGGGCTGAAAGAGGGCTGGGCCACTGGCGGGCTAAGAGGCTTACAGACCCCATGTCAGAGATGGTCCTTCTCCCTGTGGACCCCAGATGGGGAGGGAATGAATCCCACCTCTGATGTCCCCTCTCTGGGCAGCAGAAGGTAGCGGAGGGTGGGTGCTAGTGCTCGATTTGATCTTAATGTGAGCTTTAAAAGGGGGCGGACCAGGGGATCTGTGTGCAACTATCAGCCCAATCAGAGCTAATCCTACTGATTTAGACACAGACACCTGTCTGGGACCGAGAGTGACAGATGCAAAACAAATCACAAGTCACAGCCTTACAATGTAGCCATCTAGCCCCCCTCTTTTCCTGAACACAGAGATGATTGAAGAGACTGATCTCCACATTGCTCTTTTCATTGTTGCTAACAGCAACCCAGCCACCAAACAGCTGAGCAGGGTCCCTATTTGAGGAGTCGGAGGCTTAGAGGCAGCAATCAATGGGTCAGCCCAGAGCAAATAATAGTCTAGTGATATGAATACGACTGCTTTGAATTGAAACGGACGTGTCTGGGGCTGCTGGGCCTGTGTCCCCATACAATGACATGGAATAGAATAATAGTGACTAATCTTTATTGTATTGGCCGCTGGCTCATGTGTGCGGTGCTGGGCCGGTGTTGAGAGAGTGGACTGATCTTATCAGGGTCTTGTATTGCTTTCACAATTGGGTCTGTGTTCTTACCAATGACTCAGACACCTAAACAGAGCACCCGCCATCCCCCCTCGCCACCAGCTAATGTCACCCCCCCCCACACATCATGTCAGAAGAATAGGTCTACCCATATCTGAGCACATTTTGAGCTGTATTTATAGCCATATGATTTGCAACATAGCCTAAACATTCACTAATATAGAACTAGCCATTATAAATGTTTCACTCTGCAGCTGTTGGAAATTCAGAGAAAGCCAAAAATATATACATTTTGGAAAAATTGCTATTGGAAAAAACCCTCAAGTCATAGTCAAAAGATACAATGGCATGAACAAAAACCCTAGCCCCACTAATTGTCCATGCACCCTAAGACTATTAGTTTCCTTTCAACGCTACTCAAACAAATATGGAGTACATTGATGGAGATCTGACTTCCCCTCTAGTCACAGCCATTCTATTCCCTCTCCCAGTGACACACAGCTAGCGCTATAGCTGAATAAGACTGGAGAAACTAGAACAATATACACCGGAAGAGGCTGACATGTTATGACTGCATGCATTATATGGCACAATCAGATATACTGATCGATAAAACTGATATAATATAAATAATACACAGGAATGGATGACATTCAAAAAGGAGGGAAAGAGACGTTATTTTAGAAATATTAGCGGTCATGTTTATACTACTGCCACACATTGAACTGTAAGGCCATATACAGTAGGCCCCGGGGTTAAATTGGGATTTTGGGCGTGGTGGAATGATTCACTTTAAAATGGGTTGATTTTCCCACTGACCACTGTCCATAGTCTATGTTCCACTACTACAATTCAATAGTGATGAAACTTTCCACTATATCCTAACCCCAGGTAGTACCCTTATTATCATACATTAAAAAGTAAACACTGACTTTTTGAGATGTCTCTTGGATCCAGCCTACCTCGTGGGCCTTGCACAATGCCCTGTGTTGTCAATAGAGGGCTAGGCTATATTCCCTGGGTCTCCTGTCAGCCCATGTTTACCTCAAAGTGCTGTCACAACAACAGGGCTGCCTCTGCTAAGAGCATTTTGTAAAGTGAGCAGTTGGGCGATCACCTCTAGTCTAGAGCAGAACAGCGTCCTGACTGAGCTGTAACAGTCTCTCTCATCTTAACCCACCACACATATAGCTCCCTATGAGAGGCATGCCTCTTCTCTTGCAGTGCTGATAGAGCTCTCTGGAGTAGGATGAAGTTTCCCATAGACACTGGTCTAGGTACAGTTTATCGTTTTCCCTCCTAATGGGTATGGTTACGATTTGGGAAGGTTAAGCTGATCACAGATCTGTGTCTATGGACAAATTCTACCAGGAGCTACTGTACCTTACCTCTGTATTAGAGTATTGGGTCTGTGTGACAGGGAAAGTTAGCTGAGACTCAGTCTGTGTTCCCTCTGCCTGAGGGGTCAGACCCTGACCTGAGATGACTGGAGTCACATGACAGGCCTCTTATCACAGTATGAGAGAGACAGAGGTTAACGAAAACTAGTCTCCTTCATCAGACTGTCCAACAGCTCCTTGTTTTGACAACACTGAGTCTAATTAGGTGAGCAGCCTGAGAGACAAAGACAAAGGCTAATTTGAAGATGAATGTTACAATCCCCAAAACTTCAGTTCAAACTGTGGCTGACTGGATACATTTAGCCACTCCTCCCAACCCCACCCCCTTCATGCTACATTTAACCTCTTCCACCCACCCCACACCTGCTTAGCAAATTAGTGTCTTGTCACAAGCATTATTTTTTTTCTGCCATGTAGAATAGGAAATTGTGTCAGTTCTACACATTAGGCTACATTTATATCTGTTGACGTTGCACCCCACTAGTTAAGCCCTGGCATCGCCATGGGTCTGCCCCAAGGTCACATGACCAGAAACTAATCTCATTTGCTGGCTGATGTGGCTCATGCCATTAATTGGCCAGCTCTGGAGGATTGTAACTTTAAGTAGCAAAGTGGTCGTGAACATGATAAACATTGTCCCCGAGTGGCGCAGTGGTCTAAGGCACTGCATCGCAGTGCCACTAGAGATCTTGGTTCGAGTCCAGGCTCTGTCGCAGCCGGCCGCGACCGGGAGACCCATGGGCGGCGCACAATTGGTCCAGCATCGTCCAAGGTAGGGGAGGGTTTGGCCGGCAGGGATGTGGGTTTGTTTCCCACCGGGGGCCAGTATGAAAAAAAGATAATAAAAAACATACATGTATTCATTCACTAACTATAAGTTGCTCTGGATAAGAGCGTCTGCTAAAATGACTAAAAAAATAATCACTTTAAGATAAATCGGGGTATAAAGGAGGGTATGTGATGTTACACATGTATTTAACTTAATGTCATTTTAGGTTATTGACCAAATGGCTGTCCGGGCATTTTTTAGGGTAACCTTGCAAAGCTACATAAAAAAACGTGACTAGCTTATTTATCACAAAATACTAGTTGGCCAGAGGTCTGAAAGGGGGGACTTTAAAATATAGCCAAGATGAAAGATTGATGAAAGATGACAAATGATTATTTTTGATGATTAGAACAACATGATTGCAACATGCATTTGGTTGATTTTATAACATGTATGATAATACATAGATCTACATCTTTGTAAGGCTAGATCAGGGCTCTCCAACCCTGATACTGGAGCCCTAACCTCCTGTAGGTTTTCCTTTAAACCCCAGTTGCAACTAACCTTATTCAGTTTATCAAGCAGCTAATTATTAGAATCAGTTGCGCTAAATTAGGGTTGGAGCAAAAACCTACAGGACATTAGTTCTCCAGGAACAGGGTTGGAGCAAAAACCTACAGGACATTAGTTCTCCAGGAACAGGGTTGGAGATAAAACCTACAGGACATTAGTTCTCCAGGAACAGGGTTGGAGATAAAACCTACAGGACATTAGTTCTCCAGGAACAGGGTTGGAGATAAAACCTACAGGACATTAGTTCTCCAGGAACAGGGTTGGAGATAAAACCTACAGGACATTAGTTCTCCAGGAACAGGGTTGGAGATAAAACCTACAGGACATTAGTTCTCCAGGAACAGGGTTGGAGATAAAACCTACAGGACATTAGTTCTCCAGGAACAGGGTTGGAGATAAAACCTACAGGACATTAGTTCTCCAGGAACAGGGTTGGAGATAAAACCTACAGGACATTAGTTCTCCAGGAACAGGGTTGGAGATAAAAACCTACGGACATTAGTTCTCCAGGAACAGGGTTGGAGATAAAACCTCAGGACATTAGTTCTCCAGGAACAGGGTTGGAGATAAAACCTACAGGACATTAGTTCTCCAGGAACAGGGTTGGAGATAAAACCACAGGACATTAGTTCTCCAGGAACAGGGTTGGAGATAAACCCTACAGGACATTAGTTCTCCAGGAACAGGGTTGGAGATAAAACCTACAGGACATTAGTTCTCCAGGAACAGGGTTGGAGATAAAACCTACAGGACATTAGTTCTCCAGGAACGGGTTGGAGATAAAACCTACAGGAATTAGTTCTCCAGGAACAGGGTTGGAGATAAAACCTACAGGACATTAGTTTCTCCAGGAACAGGGTTGGAGATAAACCTACAGGACATTATTTCTCCAGGAACAGGGTGGAGATAAAACCCTACAGGACATTAGTTCTCCAGGACAGGGTTGGAGATAAAAACCTACAGGACATTAGTTCTCCAGGAACAGGGTTGGAGATAAAACCTACAGGACATTAGTTCTCCAGGAACAGGGTTGGAGATAAAACCTACAGGACATTAGTTCTCCAGGAACAGGGTTGGAGATAAAACCTACAGGACATTAGTTCTCCAGGAACAGGGTTGGAGAGCCCTGGGATAGATGCAATATTTATGCAAATCAAATATTATAGATCTATAAAAGCCTATGTTTGAAGGTCATAGCTTTCTAATCTATAGTCTAGAATTGTTAGCCTACGTGTGTCATTTGAAAGCAAAGACCGATGACCTTATTCCCTAGAATGCAAGTGGGCTAGCAGGCTGGGATAACCCTAATCCAAAGATAAACACAGCTGTAATCGTTTTGTAAAGTAGAAGACTGGGGAAAACAAAGGCAACTCACAAACAGAACCCCATCTGCATGTTCGAGTTTCCTAACCAGCAGTTTGTTGTAAATCAGTGTTATGTCTTTATTTCACGGAACCGCAGCTTGCTATTAAGCAAAATACGTTCCCTAAATGGTAATAGACATTTAAAACATATTTGTCTTGTTGGATAATCAACTCACCGCTATCCAGCGCAGACAGCTACGGAAGCTACCTCACGCAGACGCGCTAACACCCGCTTCTGTGATTGGTTGCGACTGAGCAATCCCAGCTCTGATTGGGTTGATGTAGTTCAAAACACCAACATTCGTCACCGCGAAAAGAAAGCATGGCGGCCCCCAGGAGGAGCGTGGGTAAACCTATCGCGGACCGTTTACCGTGCAATACCACCAGTTTTCAGAAGAAATCGCGAAGCAAACTAGTTTCAATACCTGGCACGAGACCTTCGGTTCAAAATGGGCAACTTATTGTTTCGACTGGTGTCACATCTCTTGACTACGTGATTGGTCAGTCTGCCACGAACGTGTTGACAGCTAGCTAACTCGAGTTGTTTTGCTATTTCTGATTGATTAAACTATCTAACAAGAGTAATTGTTTTCATTTGGTTAGTTTTAAAGGAATGTTATCGTTGTCACTATTCGACTGCATGTCTTCAACCACTGAGGCGCATGGAGGTAGCCGGCTAGCTTCACGTTACTTACTATAACATTCATGGAACGTCAACAATCATTCGTGTGCCCCATTGAAACACCCGGCACACCTTTACGCCATAGTAAATGTTGACAGCTAGCTCTTGGGTATTAGTCAGTCATGGTACTGGCGACTCGTACCTAGTTTGCAGATTTTTGTTCCAGTCCAACAATGAGCTTGATTAGTTGACAGGTGTGTAGTGCTGAGACAAAAGTCTGACGCCCTGTGGGTCCCCTGGACCAAGATGGAAGAACACTACAGGGTGGTTCCTCACTGATTGTTATAGAAATCAAAATACCACTCATATCTTCATACTTCAGAGCAAGCAGTAATTTTAGCTTTTTAGCACCTACATGAAACAGTCAAATATGCTAATATTAATTATCTCAATTATGTTTTTAGATACAAATGCCAAATATATTTCAACAATTCTTCCTCCAAAGAACCATTCTATGGATTAAATGTTGTGAAAATCCCCCAAATCATGGTATTTTTTTTATTGTCCTGGTTTCGTGAGGAATCACCATGCATGTGATTAGGCCTATACTCCACTCCACTAGGTTATCTGTAGATTATATGGTGTTGTCATGGACAAAAATCTACCTATTTGTAATGTTTTTTTCTTCTTGAAATAGGTGGTGGGTTAGCAGTTGGAACCCTTCTACTCATAGGTAAGTCTAATTCGACATCTTCCATTGTACAGGTAGACCGTTTACGAGTAGAGGTACTACTGTACCTTGTCCAAGATGTACTAGCTTAGGTAACCTACTCCTTTAACGTCCAACACCCGTATATGTTATGTTCAGAGGTAAACTGGCGCTGGCAGCCAAAACAGCCAAATACTCTGTCTAAATGTGAATCGATTCTCAATCGCGATAGGGTTGTATAAGGCACTCTATGGCCGTCCCTCTTCCATTACACACCGGTGGAGACGCTAGATGGCTAATAAGAACAGGTGGTCGCCTCTCTCTTCCGTAAACAAGCCGTAACATGAACATGTGACCGTGTGGGAATCGTGTTAAAAAGGTGTATAGTAATTTAACCTTCTTTTTTTCCAAAATTATTTCTCGATGATATGAAAGTAAAGTTCTAAAAGTTTCCAAAACCTAGTAAAGTTCCAAGTTTCCAAGCAAAGAGTATTAACAGCGTGTTGGGACTGTTGTACACATTGGCCGCGCCTTCGTCAGTGCTTCGAATGAGAACCCAGGGATTATTGCAGTCACTATCTCCACCTGAAAGTACCCGAGACTGGTGTAAGGCAATGCTATAGCATTAGATTGCCCTTATCACTTAAATGACCTTTGACCTGTGCTTCTTACTTGCTTTAGTGGTTTCAGCAGAGGGCACTGCTGGTTTTGGACCATCAAGCTAAAATCTGTTTTACCTGACACCTGCTGTCCAAGTCCCTTAAAACAATACACCCTTGTAGATAAGTTGTTGATAACCTGTAGATAAGTTGTATTCCTTCCGATCACCCAGAAAGCGAAAGATCTGGCCCTCATTGGTTCAGGTGTGTGTAACCTAGCCTGGTAGTCAGATGTGTTTGTTCTTAGCCAACTCCCCCATTGTGTTTGGCATGACAAACAGTAGTGGAGGGTAAACACAGTTTACCCACCTTTTTTTATTTTGTGCGATAGTTTACCCCCCTTTGGCAGAAAAACATAATATTTTCACCGTGACCGGCAATTTAGAGTTTACCCACCAATTTTTTTTACCACTACAACACTGATGACAAACAACTACCAAGCCAGTGGAAGTTTATGGTTAACAACATGCAAAATGTGAGCCCCCTTGCTGTTTATCTGTGATGTCACTATATCTACAGAATCAGGTCCTGTCACAGACAGACATTCTGTTTTACAGAAACAACACCCAGAAAACATTCTATTGAATGTAGGCTACAGTAGCCTGGGTGTATGTAATATTACTGGTCTCAGGCTCCCTAGGTGTATATAATATTACTGGTCTCAGGCTCCCTAGGTGTGTGTAATATTACTGTTCTCAGGCTTCCATTATCTTTATTCTGAAATAATAACATAGGCCCCATAACAATCAGGGAGATGGACTAATGACTAGATGGCTGCTGGTTCCAGTCCCAGGTAGACACACTGCTACTCTGCCCTAGAGCAAGCCACTGACCCTGACGTCATCTGGCCATACCCCAGCTGCATTCATGGAAGCTGTGTTAAATTCAAAGCCATGTGGGTTGATTGGGATAAGAGAGTTTTCTACTGTATGTGTTATTATTATCGAGCATTACAGGCTGTACAGTATTCATGCTAGCTGGTGAGGTGAAGGTAGCCTGGCTGGTATCCCCTTGAAACTGTCATTTGTGTGTACCAGCTGATATTAGGCCTATACTGCCTTGCCCTTTAATTTATCCCCCCAATTGATGTGGGAGGCAGTGATTACACACTAATGCATTCTTCCATTTTGTGAATCAATGTACGCTTGGTTTCATCTGGTAATGAGAGACACAGTAAAGGTGAAGTGTGTGTTTGTGTACGCGTGTGCGTTTGCATCTGTTTGTTTGTTGAATGCAGTGCTGTCTCCTGTCTATTAGGAGCTGTGATAGCTTGTTTGCGAGACAGACATAACATTGTGAGACTGGTTGAAGGCTGCGTTTGATGTGTGCTGAGCTGTCCACACTTATTTGTCTTCCAGAGTGAGATGAGCACCAATGGTATGGCTGCTGTCTGAAGATCTTTCATCTCTACAGTTTTATTTATAGAAGAGAAAAACAAAGCTTGTCAGTTGATCTCCAATCTAGCTGCCGAGCTGTTGAATTCTTCCTTTCTTTTTTAGACTTTTATTTAATTGTATTATACCCTAATGAATATGTGCTTTAATACCATTTTTGGCAGCTTTTGAAAGCTCATGTATTGGGTGATAATATTGATAAACTCATGTATGGTCCATGGGGGTAACACTGTAAGGGAGAAATGTGTAAAAAAATATATATATATGTGTGTGTATGTATATATGAATGAATGATTTGGAAATATTTGAATGAAACAGACACAGTACAAGTTCCACATGTTGTTGTCACTGGAATAATTACAAATGTTCAGTAGCCTAAATATTCCTGTAAATGTAGTAATAGTAAAGATTCCTCAGTTTACACAAGGGGACAAAGGTGCTAACCTACAGTGCCTTCGGAAAGTATTCAGACCCCTTGACTTTCTCCACAATTTCTTACATTACAGCCTTATTCTAAAATTGATTAAATCAATAAAAATCCTCAGAAATCTACACACAATACCCAATAATGACAAAGCGAAAACAGGTTATTAGAAATTTTAGCATATATATTAAAAATAAATAACAGAAATACCTTATTTACATAAGTATTCAGCCCCTTTGCTATGAGACTCGAAATTGAGCTCAGGTGCATCCTGTTTCCATTGATCATCCTTGAGATGTTTCTACAACTTGATTGGAATCCACCTGTGGTAAATTCCATTGTTTGGACATGATTTGGAAAGGCACACACCTGTCTATATAAGGTCCCACAGTTGACAGTGCATGTCAGAGCAAAAACTAAGCCATGAGGTCGAAGGAATTGTCCGTAGAGCTCCGAGGCAGGATTGTGTCGAGGCACAGATCTGGGGAAGGGTACCAAAACATTTCTGCAGCATTGAAGGTCCCCAAGAACACAGTGGCCTCCATCATTCTTAAATGGAAGAAGTTTGGAACCACCAAGACTCTTCCTAGAGCTGGCCGCCTGGCCAAACTGAGCAATCGGGGAAGAACGGCCTTGGTCAGGGAGGTGACCAAGAAATCCATAGCTCCAGAGTTCCTCTGTGGAGATGGGAGAACCTTCCAGAAGGACAACCATCTCTGCAGCACTCCACCAATCAGGCCTTTATGGTAGAGTGGCCAGATGAAAGCCACTCTTCAGTAAAAGGCACATGACAGCCCGCTTGGAGTTTGCCAAAAGGCACCTAAAGACTCTCAGACCATGAGAAACAAGATTCTCTGGTCTGATGAAACCAAGATTGAACTCTTTGGCCTGAATGCCAAGTGTCATGTCTGGAGGAAACCTGGCACCATCCCTACGATGAAGCATGGTTGTGGCAGCATCATGCTGTGGGGATGTTTTTCAGCGGCAGGGACTGGCTCTGGGAAAGGATCGAAGGAAAGATGTACGGAGCAAAATACAGATAGATCCTTGATGAAAACCTGCTCCAGAGCGCTCAGGACCTCCGACGGCCGACGGTTCACCTTCCAACAGGACAACGACCCTAAGCACACAGCCAATGTGTGTAGATTGATGAGGGGAAAAAACAATTTAATAAATGTTAGAATAAGGCTGTAACGTAACAAAAGTCAAGGGGTCTGAAAAGTCCAAGGGGATTCACACACCAACCTCACAGATCTCCACCCTCCCTCCACATCCACCACTCCTCAACCATCCATCCACCGATCCCATCCACCACCATTTCCACCCCCTCTTCCACCATTCCCACCCCCCCATCTCCACACCCCCCACCATTCCCACCCCCCTCTTCCACCATCTCCACCCCTCCCTCCACCATCTCCAACCCCCTTAACCATCTCCACCCCCCTCCATCATTTCCACCCACTTCAGCTACTTGAGACAGGGCCATTCCATCTCCATGTTAAAAGCCAAATCCTAGAGTTCACTCCCCTTTACAATCCCACGTCAAAATGAGCAAAATTAGAGCACCAAAAAGGGCAAAGAAAACCTGTGACTGTTCAGAGAGTGACTGATCTGTCCTGGGGTCCTGTGGTCACGACCCCCAAGAGGTGACGCTGCCCCCACACCCCGAACCCCCGTCACTCCCCCTTCTCCCTCCATACCCTCCCCACCCCGAACCCCTGTCACTCCCCCTCTCTCTCCTTTTCTAAACCCCTCCTCCCCAACAGCCTAATGACTCCCTCAGGTTCTATTTAGAAGGGCTCCCATAGAAAGGCAGGGCACAATGGGCCTCATCTGGAGAGGGCCCATCTGGGAGGCTTTGTAGGCCCTGCTGAAAGCCACAAAGGTCCTGCTGACCTAGAAAGCCATCAATAAGAGAACAGGGAGCCCCACCGACGACAAATTGAAGAGCCAGGGAGTTTCCTGGGTCATCCCGGGAGCTGTCCCACCATGGGTGAGGAATGAGGAGACAGGCCAGGAACGTCGGGGGGCGGGGAGGGAAGTACATTCTCCAGGTGTTCCTGGATGACTCTGCGTTATTCCCGAGCTGTCGGATGTGATGTCAGTTGTATGGCTGTCACCTTTAACTGTCACTGTCCTTTGTGTGTGTGCCCACTGTCTGCTATTGTGTGTTGAGGCCAGAGACAGCTTTACAAAATGGTGGATTGTGGCTGTGACAAGAAGCAGCAGTGGCATGCTGGGTAGTGGTATGTGGGGGAGTACAATAAGGAAGTAGGAAGTGGGCCTACATTGTGGTTCTGTGGTTGGGTGGTGGGTGCTTTGTGTGGTCTGAGGTAGCTATCTGTGGTAGAATGAATCCCTCACTCACTAGTCACTAGTCCTTACTGTCACTCAGGACTTCAATACAGACCCGAATAAGACCGGAATGCAAGCTCTTCCAAGTGTTAGCCTATTCTGTCCTGATGCTGCGCAAACAGCTCTCGGAGTTCCACTAGAATTAGGTCTGGTGTCTCACTGTTGTGTTGTGTTTGACATTTTAGACTTCTTTGGATGTAAATGTCACCTGATGCCTTTTATACACACCTCAACCTTCTTCAGCATTGTCTTCTGAATTGAATACTCTTCATGTGAATTATACCAACAAACACAAGGCCATCTGAAAAGCCATCACCACCATCATAATCCTGAGAGAACAACAGTGAATTAAAGTGAGCTGGATGTCAAGAAATTGGCTACCATTGAGTTGACTTGACCCACACATCAACAACATAAACACACAACAGTCCTTTCATTGGCGTGAAGAAACACTCCCCACTCTGAATGTAGAGTGTCATGGTTGAGTTCCACATCCCTATGTCATTTAGCTGACAGGTGGCTCATACCTCCATGAGAACTCTGGTGAATCCTCCACACAGGATTTCCTATCCCCTCTTCAAGATGGTGGGGGAGATGGTGTGTGGCTGACCCCTTTCTATGAGAGGTGTGGCTGTCATCTCATCTGGTTGGGAGCTCTTGTTCAGGAGATGACACCTGTGTCCCTGTGTCATGTCCATCCTTCCCACCTCCCTCACTAAGAGTGATGGTCATTACATCCATTACAGACAGGCTGTGTGACAGATCCCTATCTGTTGTGTTGTTATTAGGCTCAGCCAGGTGGAAGGTGTGACGTCGGGAGACACTGTGGCTTTATGTGAACAGCGAATCCCATCTTTTACTGTCAATGTATATAGACATTTAAACTTCATCACCTTTATACTGTGTCCATTATGTGTTTATACTGTAATTCGTTTCTTCCCTTTTTGAGACTAAAGTGGCAATGATCTGTGTCACTGATGCTGTTCTCTCTGTAGGTAGGAGGACACCATGATAGTGGGATCTAATGTTATGTGTGTTGTCTCTCAGAGGAGGACCGATATGACAGCTACTCTCGTATGCTGCTCAAGTACTTCCTGGCAGAGGGGGTGGTGTGTGGACATGAGCTCTACGTGGCGTCTGCTCTGGACCACCCCAATGACATCCTACAGGTACGTGTGTGTGTGTGTGTGTGTGTGTGTGTATATATGTGGACGTGCGCGTGTGTACTTTCATACTGTAGAGGCCTGCACATCTATTTCCATAGGGTCTTTATCTATTTGTAGTCCATGATTCTATGGATTTCAGGAGCTCCCACAGCAATGACGCTGCTGAGTTTTTGGGGGGGTTCGAGGGTGGTGTGTGTCGGGGGGTGGTCGGCATTGTTGAGATGTTTCCGGATACATCACTCTGAAGGGGAGCAGAGCTCCTAAAGCTGTTCCCCACTCGGCACCACAGGAGGAGGTGAACTCTCATACTGATTGATAGTGGGAGGGGTCAGAACGTAACCCCCTCTTTACATATCAAAGGAAGAGAGGAGGAGAGTAATATAGGAGGGTCCCCTCTGTGGTCTGGCATAATCAAATCATGTTGGTCCCCAATTCATTCAATTGCAGAAAAGGAAAATTGCTGAGCCAAAAACTGTTGTCCCTGTTCCCAAGAGCTCCAAAGTAACCTGCCTAAATGACTATACCCCTGTAGCACTCACATCTGTAATTATGAAGTGATTTGAAAGGCTGGTTATGACACATCAACACCATCATCCCGGACACCCTGGACCCACTCCAATTTGCACACCGCCCCAACAGATCCACAGATGACACAATCTCAATTGCACTTCACTCTCCCACCTGGACAAGAGGGGAAATAACTGTGAGAATGCTCTTCATAGACTACAGCTCAGGGTTCAACATCATAGTCCCCTCCAAGCTCATCACCAAGCTAGGGACACTGGGACTGAACCCCTCCCTCTGCAACTGGAGAGGGTAAGCAACAAAGCCTCTGCCACTCTGACCCTCAACACAGGGGCCCCTCGGGGGTATGTGCTTAGTCCCATCCTGTACTCCCTGTTCACCCACGACTGCGTGGCCGTGCACAACTCCAACACCATCATCAAGTTTGCTTAGGACACGACGTTGGTAGGCCTGATCACCGACGCCGATGAGTCAGCCTACAGGGATGAGGTCAGAGACTTAGCAGTGTGGTGCCAGGACAACAACCTCTCCCTCAACATCAGTAAGACCAAGGAGCTGATCGTGGCCTATAGGAGAAGTAGGGGAGAGCACGCCCCCATCCACATCGACAGGGCTGTTGTGGAGCGGGTTGAGAGCTTTAAGTTCCTTGGTGTCCACGTCACTAAGGACTTGACATGGTCCACACACACCCACACAGCCATGAAGAGGGCACGGCAGCGCCTCGTCCCCCTCAGGAGGCTGAAAAGATTTGGCATGGGCCCTCAGATCCTCAAAGTTCTACAGCTGCACCATCGAGAGCATCTTGACTGGCTGCATTACCGCTTGGTATGGCAATTGCACCGCCCTTGACCGAAAAGAGCTACAAAGGGTGGTGCGGACAGCCCAGTACATCACTGGGGCCGAGCTCCCTGCCATCCAGGACCTCTATATCAGGCGGTGTCAGAGGAAGGCCCGAAAAATGGCCAAAGACTCCAGCCACCCAAGCCATAGACTCGGCTACCCTCCGGCGCATAGGCTCTTGGACCAACAGGCTCCAAGACAGCTTCTACCCCCAAGTCATAAGACTTCTAAATAGCCAGACTGATAAATAGTCAATTATTAATGGTTAATGGTTCCCAAACTATCTGCACTGACTCTTTTTCACTGACCCTACCCACACTCACTAGACTATATATACACACCATATACACACTCACTAGACTTTATATACACACTCACTACACTGTCACTCCCACACATCCCTCACACATTCAAACATTATATACGCACACACACACATAAAACACACGCATACTGACACAACACACACACACACTTTTACACTCATAATTTGCTGCTGCTACTCTGTTCTTAATTTTACTCTTATTATTATCTATCCTGATGCCTAGTCACTTTACCCTGCCTTCATGTACATATCTACCTCAAATACCTTGTACCTCTGCACATTGATATGGTACGGGTACTCCCTGTATATAGCTCCATTCTTGTATTTATTTGTCCCTCTTGTGTTAATTACTATTAAATGTTTTATTTTTATTTATTTTTATTCTGCATCGTTGGGAAAGGTTCGTAAGCATTTCAGTGTTAAGTCTACAGCAGTTGTATTCGGCGCATGTGATAAAATTTGATTTTGATTTAGAAGCTTTGGTGTAAACTGGTCATATTGGTGATGTGTGCAACCCTACACCATGCTATTGGGCTCTACATTGTTTTGACAGGACTGTTGGTGTAGCCTACGTCATAGCTATGTGTGAGATGTGCATGAATGAAGGTCAAGCTGGTGTGTGTGTTACAGTGAAGTTAGTGTTTGAGGAGGTGTCTTAAGGGGACTGTGTGTCTGAACTCTGAAGGTCAGGTTGCTCTGTCCTGTGTTTTTCTATGTCAGTCTCTCTATCTCTCCCTCTCTCCCTCTTGCTCTCCCTTTCTCCCGCTCTCTCTCTCTCTCTCTCTCTTTTTATCTCTCTCTCTCTCTGTCTCGCTCTAGCTCTCTCCCTCCTCTCTCTCTCCCTCGCTCTCTCTTTTTCTCTCCATCTCTCTCCATCCCACCCTCTCCGTGGCTTATTAAACCTGTCTACTCAGGTGTGTGTGGGTCTGTTAGACAGTCCCCCACCTCTCAGGTTCCATCCCATTTGTAACAGACTCCGTCAGCTTTCTTAGAGCTGTTTTCCGAGACCTGTCTAGTCAGTGTCTACTAATTGATTTAACCTCTGTGTCTCTGTCTGGAGGGACATGCCACTGTTAATGAGAAAACAACATGACACCTCACACCTCATATACAATGCATTCTGAACGTTTTTCAACATTTTGTTACGCTACAGCCTTATTCTAAAATGGATTAAATTGATGTTTTTCCTCATCAATCTACACACAATATCCCATGATGACAAAGCGAAAGCAAGTTTTTAGATTTAAAAAAAAAAAAAAAAAAAAAAACTGAAATCCCTTATTTACATAAGTATTCAGACCCTTTGCAATGAGACTCGAAATTGAGCTCAGGTGCATCCTGTTTCCATTGATCATCCTTGAGATGTTTCTACAACTTGATTGGAGTCCACCTGTGGTAAATTCTATTGATTGGACATGATTTGGAAAGGCAAACACCTGTCTATATAAGGTCCCACAGTTGACAGCAAAAACCAAGCCATGAGGTCGAAGGAATTGTCCATAGAGCTCTGAGACAAGATTGTGTTGGGGCACAGATCTGGGGAAGGGTACCAAAACATTTCTGCAGCATTGAAGGTCCCCAAGAACACAGTGGCTTCCATCATTCTTAAATGGAAGAAGTTTGGAACCACCAAAACTTTTCCTAGAGCTGGCCGCCTGGCCAAACTGAGCAATCAGGGGAGTAGGGCCTTGGTCAGGGAGGTGACCAAGAACCTGATGGTCACTCTAACAGAGCTCCAGAGTTCCTCTGTGGAGATGGTTGTCCTTCTGGAAGGTTCTCCCATCTCTGCATCATTCCACTAATTAGGCCTTTATGGTAGATTGGCCAGACGGAAGCCACTCCTCAGTAAAAGGCACATGACAGCCCGCTTGGAGTTTGCCAAAAGGCACCTAAAGGACGGTCAGACCATGAGAAACAAGATTATTTGGTCTGATCAAACCAAGCTTGAACTCTTTGGCCTGAATGCCAAGCGTCACGTCTGGAGGAAACCTGGCCCCATCCCTACGGTGAAGCACGGTGGTGGCAGTATCATGCTGTGGGGATGTTTTTCAGCGGCAGGGACTGGGAGACTAGGCAGGATCGAGGGAAAGCTCAACGGAGCAAAGTACAGAGATCCTTGATGAAAACCTGCTCCAGAGCGCTCAGGACCTCCAACTGGGGCGAAGGTTCACTTTCCAACAGGACAACGACTCTCAGCACACAGCCAAGACAACGCAGGAGTGGCTTCGGGACAAGTCTCTGAATGTCCTTGAGTGGCCCAACCAGAGCCCGGACATGAACCCAATCGAACAACTCTGGAGAGACCTGAAAATAGCTGTGCAGCAATGCTCCCCATCCAACGTGACAGAGCTTGAGAGGATCTGCAAAGAAGAATGGGAGAAACTCCCCAAATACAGGTGTGCCAAGCTTGTAGCGGCATACCCAAGAAGACTCGAGGCTGTAATCGCTGCCAAATGTGCTTCAACAAAGTACTGAGTAAAGAGTCTGAATACTTATGAAAATGTTTTTTATTTTTAATACATTTGCAAAGATGTCAAAAAACCTGTTTTTGCTTTGTCATTATGGGGTATTGTGTGTAGATTAATGCCTTTTTAGAATAAGGCTGTAATGTAACAAAATGTGGGAAAAAATCAAGGGGTCTGAATACTTTCTGAATGCACTGTACACCGGCTTCCTATTCTACTACATGACAAGGACTCTTGTTTGACATAGTAAGACAAATTGTATGTGTTGATTCATATTATTTGCCATCATGCTGAATTCCACACAATACAGCTTGAACACTGAATAAAATAGAAAAGTGTATAAGCAATGCAGTTCTTTGTCAAGATTCATTACAGATTTTGTTCCGTTATTATCTTTAGGAACTCCCCGCCCCCATCCTGGATGACATCGCCAGCCCCAAAACAATGGAGGAGCAGACAAAGTCATGTGACCCTGAGAATCAGGACGGCATGAAGATCGCATGGCGCTACCAGCACCTGCCAAAAGTACAGGTAAATGTGTGTGTGTGTGTGGGGGGGGGTGGGGGGCAGTCAGGTCATGGGGTCACAGGCCTAGCTCTTGGCTCTATGGGGGGGACGTTTGTCTTCACCACTAAATCCATCAGCTCCTAAACTCCTGTGTAGCCTCTCCATTCAGAGCTGGTGGAGATTACTCACGCTTAGCTGCTGCTAGGTGGGCCCTGCCGACACACATACACACCCTGCCTAGCCTGGGAAACCGGGGTACCCTGCAGCCACACATACACACCCTGCCTAGCCTGGGAAACCGGGGTACCCTGCAGCCACACCACACCCATACACACCCTGCCTAGCCTGGGAAACCGGGGTACCCTGCAGCCACACCACACCCTGCCTAGCCTGGGTAACCGGGGTACCCTGCAGCCACACCACACACATACACACCCTGCCTAGCCTGGGAAACCGGGGTACCCTGCAGCCACACCACACACATACACACCCTGCCTAGCCTGGGAAACCGGGGTACCCTGCAGCCACACATACACACCCTGCCTAGCCTGGGAAACCGGGGTACACACACACTACACACATACACACCCTGCCTAGCCTGGGAAACCGGGGTACACACACACTACACACATCCACACCCTGCCTAGCCTGGGAAACCGGGGTACCCTGCAGCCCATCCATTGCCACGCCACCCCCTTAACTCTCATGACCCGGATCTGTCCCCCTGTCCCCTCTTAAATCCCTGTCTATCCCCTTACCAGGGGCGCTGGCGCTACACTCTTTCTTCCGCTCTGAGGAATGGTGACCCCCTCCATCCTCCTCCCCTCTCCTCCCCTGCTCAGGCTATAATCCATATCGCTATGTGGATTAACAGCACACAGCAAGTCCCTGGAGATCTCAATCTCTCTCTCTCTCTCTCTCTGGAAACTTCTTTATCTCTGTGTCTTTCCCTCACCTCTCCCCCTTCCCCTCCCTCCCAAAACCAGACTTTACAAACCAAACTGCCAATAAGCCCCAGCCAGAGGATTTGCATCCCAAATTCACTCCACGAGTCCCCCTCTACCCCCATTCCCCCTACACACCTCTCCTGCCAACCCTCTCAGAGTTGCCCTGTCCAATGAAGACATCAGATCAAAGGTGAGGCGGTCGGGGCGGGCAGGAACACTAAGCGGTTCGCCCCCCCCCCTGCTTACAAAGAGAAGATGTGCCCCTGACCCCCTCTCTCCCCCCTCGCCCCCCTCTGACTCCTCCGTTCTGTCAGGAGAGGGGCAAACCGGGGGCCCTAATCCAGATTAGTGGTAGATTAAGAGCCCGTCTGACAATGGACCCCCTGGCTGCTTTCACTGGGTAGAGCAGGGCTACAGGACTCTCCCTTTCACCCAGGAGAAAACATCCTCCTTCTCTCCCTCAGACCCCAGACCCAGACATGGCTGTTTTCACTGCTACAAGTGGACGGTTACGTGGCGACATGATTTAAGATGGTGGTTGTAGTAGTTGTTTACTTCTCCACAAGTTTTTATTTGATTTAAACAGCATTTTGAAACACTTGTATGAATGCAGCTATGAGCAGGTCATTCTTTTAAAGTGTGCATACTCTACTTGTTGAAAGTGAGGACGTTTCACACTTAAAAAGTAGCATTAACTACCCTAGTTGCAATGTGATCAACAGCAGTGTAAAATGGATATACACCGCTTTTCTCTCAACACTAAACGTTGACCCTCAGACGGCCCTGGCGTCCTCGTCGAGGTTCGGACACTACTACGACGTCTCCAAGACAATGGACCCTGAGATCTGCCAGGCGGCCAGATGCCACGGCTTCTACCTTCCAGAACACTCCACCGCTGTGACATCAGCACCCACCGCCACCGGCCAGAGGTAACCCCAGCAACCCCTGAACACTACTCCACCCTTATCTCTTCATGTTGCTCAGTATTACTTACACAATATATCGTGCAAATGTACTGTATGTCTTAGAGAACTTAGTCAAAACCTAAGAAGCTTACCCTACAACCTGAGAAGCCAACCCTACAACCTGAGAAGCCAACCCTACAACCTGAGAAGCCAACCCTACAACCTGAGAAGCCAACCGTACTATGACCGTGACACACACAGTAGTAGTATACTTACCACGTTTTGGAAGCGTCTAAGAGACACTATTATCATATCTTAGAGAAGCTTTTGGATTAGGTTCGGTATAACCTACAGTTTGAATAGTAATTGTAGATGGACAATGCTTGGACAGTCACTCTAAACGGGCTAGTAGCCCCCCCCCCCTCAATCAGATCACGATGTGGTATTATGGTCAGTTTCTGAGGTTTATAATCAGCTAATAAAGTCTGTATAAAAACAGGGTCAGACTCCTTTCATCCTGAGCAGCTCTAGGTAGGTAGGTTAGTAGGCTGAGAAGAGACATTCAGCAGAGTAAAAGGCTTTGGTGGTGAATGTATTTCAACAGAGAGAGGGACCGTTTGCTGTGAGTTTGTTTTGTTCAACGTTGAGTGTGCTTAGGGTTCAGAGGTCAGGCACGCTATTTACATTTGAGAGGGTGGCGAGACAAACACAAGCGCACACAAAGTCACAAACACACACACACAGTTACAAACACACACATACACAGTCAGACACCGAGTCAGACACGCTTGGCAAACAGACCAATCTGGAGCGGAGGGAGGGTTTTATAGAACCCTCTGCTTTTAGATCTACAAACAGAGACCCTTTAACTCTGGACCATGCAAACACGTGTGAGTGTGTGAGTGAGTGAGCCTTGCTAATTTCAGTTGACTCCTATTTACTGTCACTGAGCAGTGTTGAGTCAGTCATTGTCATAGGAAATCTTTTTATTTTGTCCTTTATGTTTGTTAGACAGAATCCTTCCTTCTCCTGTCGTTCTGTGGGTTAGTAATTAAGTCTGACAGTGGCATTGCCATCATAGTGGCACTGCCCATCATGTTCTCTGAATAGGGCACTGATCTGCCAGACAACATGACAGCTGGTCAGCAGGAAACTACACCTGCACTGCACTGCTCACACGCACACG